TGACTGGAACAATGGGCTCAAGCATAGCAACAGTTCTGAGAACGGAGCAGGACCCGGCAGTGTTTCATTCTGTTCTACGTAGGGTTGCTATGAGTTGGAACAGACTCAATGACACCTAACAACAACAACAACATACGCGTGGGAAAGCTGGACAATGACTAAGGTAGACCAAAGAAGAATCGATGCCTTCGAATTGTGATATTGGTGCATAACCAGAAGAACGAACAAATCTGTCTTGGAAAAAGTACAGCCAGAATGCTCCTTGGAAGCAAGAATGATGAGACTTAGTTTTATGTACTTTAGACATGTTATCAAGAGGGACCAGCCACTAAAGGCCATCATGCTTGGTAAGTAGAGGGCCAGCAAAAAAGAGGAGGACCCTTAAGGAGATGGATTTACACAGTTGCTGAAACCATGGGCTCAAACATAGCAAAGATTCTGAGGATGGCACAGGACTGGGCAGTGTTTCACTCTGTTGTATGTAGGGTCTCTGTCTTAGTCGTCTAGTGCTACTGTAACAGAAATCTACACAAGTGGATGGCTTTAACAAATAGAGGTTTATTCACTCACAATCTAGGAAGCTAGAAGTCCAAATTCAGAGTGCCAGCTCCAGGGGAAGGCTTTCTGTCTCTGTCGGATCTGGAAGGTCCTTCTCAACACAGGGACCGTGGATCCAAAGGAAATGCTATTCTCCTGGTTCTTCTTTCTTGGTGGTATGAGGTCCCCAGGTCTCTCGGCTCACTTCTCTCATATATATCTCAAAAGAGATTGCCTTAAGACACAACCTAATCTTGTAGATTGAGTCCTGCTTCATTAACATCATAGAGGAAAGATTTACAACACAGGAAAATCACATCATATGACAAAATGGTGGAAAGTCACACAGTACTGAGAAATATGGCCTAGCCAAGTTGAAACACATTTTTGGGGGACACAATTCAATGCCTAACAGTCACTATGAGTTGGAACTGACTCCATAGCACCTAACAACAACAACAGTTATGGACATATATGAAACTTAAACAAAAAACCAACCCCGTTGCTGTCCAGTTGATTTCCAACACATAGCAACCCTACAGGGTTTCTATGAGTCGCTAAGAGAGAATATAAAATTTAAGACCTCTTATTCACCTCTCCCCAAGCCAAAACCAAACTTTTTGCCGTCAAGTTAATTCCGACTTATAGTGACCTTGTAGGACAGAGTTGGTCTTGGCTGTAATATTTTATGAAAACCGACAGCCACATCTTTCTCCCACAGAGTGACCGGTGGGTTCAAATCACTGATCTTGGGTTAACAGCTGAGATTTTAACTACTGCACCACCAGGGATCCTTTGCATCTCTCCGTATATGCGAAAAACAGTTTGAGAAAAAATTGGTAGGTTTTCTTCATTTGAATGTATTAAGCAGCTTCTCTATTATTTTTCCCGACTCCTAATGGTACGAGATGCATGTGTTTGGATGGATCACTCCAACTTAAGCAATGAAAGGGCATGATCAGCCTCTTCTTCCCTTAGGATCTGTAAAACTTTTCATTGATCCTAAATCGAGGAATGATTAAAGGCTATTTTGCCAAAAGCTAACAGGTGCTTTCGATATTTCTTCAATTTGATGTTTTTGACAAGATAACCTTTACATACATCCAAAATAACCCACGTGTGTCTGTGTGCGGGGAGGTTGGGGGGGTGGGCAAAGGTGCTGTGGTTCTTGATTAAAAATCAAAAGTATTGTAATTCCAACTCAGTTTCAATAAATGAAATGCATGTTCAGTAAAGTTACTCTGATTTCTTGTCCATATATCATAGACAAAGATAGCTGCTGTTGCGTTGCCTGGGACTCATGGGACCTTATGTACAGACAAAACCTTCCCCAGTCCTACATTATCCTCAGGATTGTCAGCTTGTTAGA